GACAAACAGCTTTCCAAAGAACATACAGGGCAGGCAAGAGGAAGTACTTATTCATGTAAAATATGGAACTGACTACTGCAAGGTGGTGTGATGGCTACCAATTTGGACTGCTTAAAAGTGTTCAGGAAGTCACGTAGGAAGTAGGAACAGGGCATCCTGCCATAATTCCCCAAGCGTGAGAGCACATACACGGAACCCCACCTGGGGAGTGAACAAGGGGGCAACAACAGACATCGGCAGAAGCAGTTTAGCAAGTCAGATGTTCTGAAAGCCCATCTTCAGACAAGTCCTGAGGGCAAGGGTATGTAAAGAGTTTTATTGTTGTTTCAGTGATGGGTACATAAGAGGTGTTGGGAAGGGTGTCTGATAAAGTGGCCTAATGTTGAGCTTGTGTAACCATTGTATAAAGGTACAGTGGTGCCCCGCAAGACGAATGCCTCGCAAGATGGAAAACCCGCTAGACGAAAGGGTTTTCCGTTTTGGAGGTGCTTCGCAAAACGAATTTCCTATGGGCTTGCTTCACAAGACGAAAATGTCTTGCGAGTTCCTGCAGGGTTTTTTTTCCTCCCCCCCCCCTTTTCCCCAAGCCGCTAAGCCGCTTATCAGCTGATCGCTAAGCCGCTTATCAGCTGATCCGCTAAGCCGCTTAACAGCTGATCCGCTAAGCCGCTAAACCGCTTATCAGCTGATCCGCTAAGCCGCTAAGCCGCTTATCAGCTGATCCGCTAAGCCCGCTAAGCCACTAATAGCGCTAATCCGCTAAGCCGCTAATGGGCTTGCATCGCAAGACGAAAAAACCGCAAGACGAAGAGACTCGCGGAACGGATTCTTTTCGTCTTGCGAGGCACCACTGTAAAGGGAACCCTGACCATTAGGTCCAGTCGTGACCGACTCTGGGGTTGCGCACTCATCTCACTCTATAGGCCAAGGGAGCCGGCGTTTGTCCGCAGACAGCTTCCGGGTCATGTGGCCAGCATGACTAAGCCGCTTCTGGCGAACCAGAGCAGCACACGGAAATGCCGTTTACCTTCCCGCCAGAGTGGTCCCTATTTATCTACTTGCACATGACTGACGTGCTTTCGAACTGCTAGGTTGGCAGGAGCAGGGACTGAGCAATGGGAGCTCACCCCGTCACGGTGATTTGAACCGCCAACCTTCTGATCGGCAAGTCCTAGGCTCTGTGGTTTAACCCACAGCGCCACCCGCGTCCCAATCATTGTATGCCCCTCCCCATTTGTGACATGCTAGTGATGTAGTGGTGATGTATCAATTATGCTGCTCAAAGTTCTAGTTACAGGTAGGTAGCTGTGTTGGTCTGCCGTAGTCGAAACAAAATAAAAAAATTTCCTTCCAGTAGCACCTTAGAGACCAACTAAGTTTGTTATTGGTATGAGCTTTCGTGTGCATGAACACTTCTGATGTACCTGAAGAAGTGTGCATACACACGAAAGCTCATACCAATAACAAACTTAGCTGCTCAAAGTGTATTCTGGGGGAAAGAGGGAAGTTTTAAAAGAGGATGTCACCCCATGCTTGGGGTTCTTACTCCTGTGGGGACCTGTTGCGCAACAATAAAGATTATGGTCTACTGACCACAGTTTTGCTCCAAATTACTTGGCGGGAGCTTCCTTCTTTTACTGACCACATGGACCCGTGGGGGACTTGCACCCCAACGAGCTGGGCTGTTGTGTAGTCTCTCACCCCTGAATTTTTCCTTAACAAAAGCTAGATTTGTTGTGATGTCTATATTATCTCCAGTACCAGACGCTGAGGAGCAAGAGTAGGAGAGGGCTACTGTGTCCATGACCTGCCTGTAGGCTTTCTATAGGCACCTAGTTGGCTGCTGGGAGAACAGAATGATGGACTAGCTGGGCCTTTCATCTGATCCAGCAGGCATAAGGCACAAATCACCCCTTCTCCTTTACTATTTATTTACCTGTCCCTCACTGTGAGGTGAGATATAACAAATAGAATATACAACTATTAAACAGATAGAAAATTAGCCCGGTTTTAAATCATGTAAAACTGTTCTGAAATGGAACAGAGCAGCATAAATTCAATGAAGAAAATTGGCTGTGTTCAACAAAAATGCCTTAGCTGTTGAGGACCAAGGTAGAGAGGAAAAGGCATCCAGTACTCTCAGAAGTAGAGGGGACTGGATAGCTCAGTTGGTTAGAGTGCAGTGCTGATAACACCAAGGTTGCAGGTTTGATCCCCGTATGAGGCAGCTGCATATTCCTGCATTGCAGGTGGTTGGATTAGATCAGGGGTCAGCAAACTTTTTCAGCAGGGGGCCGGTCCACTGTCCCTCAGACTTTGTGGGGGGCTGGACTATATTGGGGGAGGGTGAATGAATTCCTATGCCCCACAAATAACCCAGAGATGCATTTTAAATAAAAGGGCACATTCTACTCATGTAAAAACACGCTGATTCAGGCCGGATTTAGAAGGCAATTGGGCAGGATCCGGCCCCCGGGCCTTAGTTTGCCTACCCATGGATTAGATCATCCTCAGAGTCCCTTCCAACTCTGCAATTCTATGATTCTATGACTCCGCTCATCCTAAGCCCTTCTAGCTGAGATTTCATCCCTCTGCTACACCTCCTTTCATCTGCTCCTTCCCTGTGGTCTTGTCCTGCTGGCTTCTCCTGGGCCCCAGTGCTGACAAATTTATTCCCCTCCCTCATAATCCACTTGCCAATAATCTTGCCCCACTTATTTAGTGCAGTGAGGCATCTGCTCATCTATATTGGCTTCAAGGCACATTTGGTTTCTCTTCTGAATTAATCTGTGCAGTAATACAATTCATACATGGATTTTATGTATGTACAGATTGGTGGTGGTGGTGATGGTGCTATTACAGTGTTTGGGGCGTGGGGTGTTTGTTGCGAGTTTCCATTTATTTATGGGTTAATTCACAGAATTAAAACGTCAGGGGAAGTTAGGAAAAACCCGGGGCTCTTTGTTATTTCACTTTTAAAGGACATGGTTTTGTGTGGAAAGCAATGAAAACTGAAGATAAGTCTCTTCCATGTGGATTAACAAATATGATTTCTATGTCAATATTAATTAGCGGCAAGCTATTAAAACATTGCACTCCTTTCCTTAAATGTAAATCTCACCACATTTTACATCTTAAGATTCCTTCCACTGGTGCTGACAGAAACCCTAATTAAGACTTATAGGTGCCATTTCTTAACATAAAGCTATCCCGTAAAAAGGGAAATATGCTACTGTGTAGTTGCTGGAGGGAACGGGAAGGAAAAGTGAAATATTGAGCAATTTCCTGAATCTTTTCAGCAAGCTAAATTTCAGCCATAAACATGCATTTAACCCAAGGAAGCGAACACCTTCATGTTTTCATCAAAGGGGCCATGGATAGAACCGGTGCAGCAATTCTAATAATAGTTATGATATCAGGATGTTTACCTGCCCAAGCACTACTGTGATGATTACCAGCAATTATAACCAGGCTTGCATATATTCCGTTATTATCAATAATGACATCTGTACCCAGGCAAGCAAAATTGTGTCTTTTTTCCTCATTTGCCTTTAGGTATCTGATCTTTTCAGAGGCTTTTGTTCTCCCATTCTTGTCACAATTGCTGCTGTTGTTTATTTATATGTTCATCATAACATCTGTTCGTTTGTGTGTGTTTTTAAAAGCTTCGCACGTGGCTTTGAGATTTAATGAAATGTGCCCTGGGATCCTACATGGAACAACTTTTGGGGTCCCTCCATCTCTCCCAGTGCCATATTTCCTCATGTAGCTGTGCTGAGACAGAAATGCCAGTTTCGCACGTAGCATGACGGCATAAATTAGTTCTAAGGGAACAAGGTCCTGGACTGAGAGGGGCAATTCGCAGAGGTACGGCTCCCTGTGATGATGGATTGACTGTTAAACCTCTCTGGGAATTGTAGTTCTGGGAGGGAAATAGGGGTCTCCCAACAATTCTCAGACCCTTAAAAAAACTACAGTTCCCAGGATTCTTTGGAGGGAGAGTCGTGGCCTTTTAAAGTCACATCACAGCACTTTAAAAGTATGGTGTGAATGTGGCGCTGGAGTGTGTGATGTCAGGAGCGTGGCTGAGAATTTACAAATTCACAGGGTGAATTAACCCTTCTTCAAAACAGGTCTACTAATGCCCCCAAAATGGATACTATTTATAGCTTGAGAGTTCTGTTTCTCATACTCCAAAAAGCACAAGTATTTACAGTGGTGCCTCGCAAGATGAAAAGAATTCGTTCCGCGAGTCTTTTCGTCTTGCGATGTTTTTGTCTTGCGAAGCACGGTCGGTTGCAACCGCGCCTCTTCAAGAGGCTTTTAAAAAAAAGCGCAAGACGTTTTCGTCTTGCGAAGCAAGCCCATAGGGAAATTCGTCTAGCGAAGCAACGCAAAACCGAAAAACCCTTTCGTCTAGCGAGTTTTTTGTCTTGCGAGGCATTCATCTTGCGGGGCACCACTGTATTATTATTAGTGGCAAGGGGAAATGTGTTCAGGAAAATTCCAGCATAAGGGCAAGGATAGGCCCACTCACCACACAGCTCAGCTCACTGATAATTGAACTATAGCCCTGATCTGATTTTGGTTGAGACTACCCTCATAGCGTAGTTAACCTTTGGGTTGATCTGCCCTTGCTTGGCACAAGAAAACCTGTGTCATGAGGATCACCTGCCTCTCCCTGGTAGAACAACAAAGCGAGAACTGAATTCCCTCGGTTCCAGTTCTGCTTTACAATCTTCAGTTCAAAACTACAAGAAAGGGAATAAAACCGACCAAGAAATCTTCCTGGCACCAAACGGGCGAGTACATAAATTAAGGAGATTAATTGCACCATGATTCAGGAACATACTCATTATCATTAACAAAGAGAAATGTGTCCAAATTTAACAAAGGGGAGGATTATTATTATTTTTCCAGACAGCAGGAAATCAAAACCATCAAGGACATTTTGGGGGTGTTTCTAAGCCGGTGTGACAAATGGGGCCGAAGCTGCTTACCTTCGACGCAGGAGGGCTGCGCTCTTGTTGTGCCAGCCACCTGACCCGGGAAGCAGGAGCACTTGACCGTCTGCGACCGCTCTTCAATCCTGTTCTTGTTGCAGCACCGATGCACTGCCACCACTTCGCAGGTCCCTTGCTTAACTTGGTGGTGGCCTGTTGACGACAAAGGGACGTTCTGCTGAGCCAACTGCAGTTGGTTACCTTGTTTGCTTATTTATTTGGAGAAGTTATACGCTACTTTTCACCTCTGTGACCAATTATCAAAGCAGTTTACATGGAAAATGCAGAGCAACACACTGAGTGGGGTCCCGTGAAGTCACTGTGGAAACAGAACAACTTCAGCTCATTCAACTCCCTCCTGCCCCAAGCCACGCACATCCTATCTGCTGTGCAGCGTCCCTCAACCCTCCAGAGAAGATTTTGGGAGGTAAGGGGAATGCAGGGAAAGGAAAAATGTCACACCATTCTGCTCATGCAGTGACTGTTGGATTTAACCCACCACAATCAATAAAATCCAGTTATTTAAACTGGAGTGGGGTGGGAATACATAGTCAAAATCAGAACAGCAAGAATGGGATGAAAAGGTATTGGTAAACAACTTTGTTTTTCACTTCCAGAGGAAGCCACCCAACATTTGGGACTCTCTGGATCTCTGTTGGAGTAGGCATAGAGTAGGCGAAAAAACTCCCCCCCACCCCCACCCCCAAAATCAGTTTAGTGACGAATTCTAGGCAATCTTATCACAGCCACGCCCACGCTGACACTCTCAGATCTCTTTTTGACAACCAACAAAACCATTCATAGGAGCAATGTGATTGGAATTCATGGCACAACCCCCGTCCCTAACCTCACAGCATTGAACAGCCATACAACTCAGAAGTAAGTCCCACTGAGTTCAGTGGTAGGAATGTATTCTAAAACATCATATTAAACTGATGTCTGGCTAGGTTAAGCCAAAAGCACTGCTTGCTTTTGTTTTGTTGCGGGGGCGTCAAATAGAAGCACTTCCTATCTTACGTGCAAGGAAGTTCTCCATTACTGCAGCCTCCTTCCAAATGTGTTACTAGTTAGTCTTGCTAGCATCCTGGAGTTGTTCGGGTAAGTGCACCGCTGGATAACTGTGGCAATGTCCTTTGTTGGGTTTTTATTCTTGCCTTTCATTACACAGAACAAAATGTCAAGGCCCCCTAACTGTCTGCTCACCAAAGGAAACCGTAATGAGAGCTAAGTACTTAAGGCTGCATCCCTATACCCACTCAGCTGAAAGTGAACTCCAAAGTACTTATTTCTGAATATCCATTCATAGGAGTGCGTAATAAGCACTGAAAGCCTGAAAGCCTGCTCAGACTTACCTGGGAACAAGATTCAATGAAATCAATGGAACTTACTTCTACATAGGCATGTATAGGAATCCAGAGTAGTGGAATGTACATGCACTGGGCTTATCTACATTTCTGCTTGTCCCGTGACTAGACAGCATGAGCCCAATGTATTGCCAATGCCTCTGTGTTGTTTCTTAATGGCCATAACTTGGTCAGGTTGTTTTTGCATAAGCTAGCTCAGGAACGCTTCTGTAGTTGGTATTTCTCTTTTCACGTCCCAAATAATCAAACTCCTATCATTTATTAATTTCTGGGGGGGGGGAATTCCCCCCACAATCTACAACATCTTATCTTAACTTATTAGTGCGGGTGGCGCTGTGGGTTAAACCACAGAGCCTAGGGCTTGCCGATCAGAAGGTCGGTGGTTCGAATCCCCGCGATGGGGTCAGCTCCCGTTGCTCGGTCCCTGCTCCTGCCAACCTAGCAGTTCGAAAGCACATCAAAGTGCAAGTAGCTAAATAGGTACCGCTCTGGCGGGAAGGTAAACGGCGTTTCCGTGCGCTGCTCTGGTTCGCCAGAAGCGGCTTAGTCATGCTGGCCACATGACCCGGAAGCTGTACGCCGGCTCCCTCGGCCAATAAAGCGAGATGAGTGCAGCAACCCCAGAGTTGGTCATGACTGGACCTAATGGTCAGGGGTCCCTTTACCTTTACTATAACACTAATATTAATCGTATGGCAGGGGAGGGAAACAACTTGCCCAAAATAATGCAAGGTCGTGCCATTCTGGGATTTAAACAGAGATCCAAGGCCAAGCCACTGGGATCCTCTGCCTCTATAACTTCCATATCTGTAATAAGGTGTGATCTGTTAACTGGCATGCAGACCAAGGTTGGTGGGCTGAAAGCTACGCAAGGGGAAATGTAGCCTTCCATTTTCACGCTGAATAATGTATTTTTAAAAAATGTAAGATTTTATTCCACCCTCCCCTGCCCCCACTGTACTTTTAAACAAAATATGCTACAGCTGCGAGATGCATAATGCATTTTACAGGAAGTTGGGAAAACGTTGATCACAGCATAAAAGTGTCTCTCACAGCCACTGTATTATGTTTATTGGCAGGCTGTGTGTTTTCATGGAAGGGCCTGATACCTAAGTAATAGCAATAAAAGGGCTCCATTGGGAAACCGAAGCACTCATTGTAAGTTGAGAAATGAATAAGAAGAGATCACGGCTGCATCCTTCTCTGTTCCGAAAGATCAATCCCTAAAATCTTCCAGCGAACACTATCAAGCGTTCATAAACGGAAGATTAAAATTGTGCAAACAACAACAACAACATGACTATCAAGAATGGATGTTGTTATGGAGACTGGAGACTATTCTGTTGGGCAGATGGCTTTCTCATAGTCAAGGATGACTGGCTGATGTTTCCTCAATAGGAGCTAATGGTAGGAGATGTTTCCTTGATTCCTGAAAAGTAAGAGTTCTTCTTTCAAGTTTTTAGGCTGTAATTCCCAGTTAGGGACTCCTACCTTGAAGTGAACAATCCTCTGTTTGAAAGAGTTCTTTATTTGAAGGGTTGACCAAGGCAAATCTGGTTTAAAGGTCCATAACCATAAGGGGGGGGGGGAGCTTGGAAGTTCCCCCATCAACACCTAGAAAGTGGACTTAACAGAAACAAGGCCATCTGCTCACATTATTCCCCAGTATGGAGTGATGTAACGTGTTTCTATTTAAATTACAGTAATTGCTTTGAAATTTTAATCAAGACATACACAAGCATATACAAATTTTATGAAAACCTGTGTCCTCTTTTGTCCTCTATTTTGGCGAAGCATTTCAAATTGTGGGAGAGGGGGATTGATGCGGACGTGGCATCAGAGTTTGGGAAAGTGGCACCCTCTGGTTTAGTGGACGGGGCAAAGAAAGTCTGAAGGAGGTTGCATGTCGGCTTCCAAGAGAAAATCAGAAACAGGGAGTTTTATAGCAGTGAGCTCGCTTTAGGTGCCACACCTTCAAGGTTGCTGCCTGCTTTTAGGATTCTGCTTTTAGGATTCCAGGAGACAAAAATCTGTTTAGATTAAGTAGGTGGCTAAACCACTGAGCGTTGGGCTTGCTGGTCAGTGGTTTGAATCTCCGTGATGGGGTGAGCTCCCGTTGCTGGGTCCCAGCTCCTGCCAACCTAGCAGTTCAAAAGCATGCCAAAAAGTGCAAGTAGATAAATAGGTACCACTCCAGCGGAAAGGTAAACAGCGTTTCTGTGCGCTGCTCTGGTTTTGCCAGAAGCGGCTTAGTCATGCTGGCCACATGACCCAGAAAAACTGCCTGCGGACAAACACCGGCTCTCTCGGCCTGAAAGTGAGATGAGCGCCGCAACCCCAGAGTTGTTCGTGACTGGACTTAACTGTCAGGGGTCCCTTTAATAATAATATAATAATTATTATTTATTATTTATACCCCGCCCCTCTGGCTGAGTTCCCCAGCCACTCTAGGTGACTTTAGGGTTAGGGTTAGATGTTAGATGTTGATACAACCCAATGAAGTTTGCAGCGCTCCAAAGGCAAGTAAACTTATTAGAGTGCCCCTGGGATGCCACCACTGAGGAAAGTGAGGAACACATAACAATATTAGCCGCCGCCGCCACCCCCACCCCCCATTTACACACAGTCTACTCACACGTGACCACATATATGCGGTGCTGGGGGGGGAATAAACAGAATCAAGCCAGGAAGTGGTGGGAGAGAACTGGAGAGTCCTCATGGCTCATGTGGAGACTCTCCCCTGAGCCCCAAGAGGACGTCACTGAGGGTGGAGGAAGCCCCAAGGAGACCAGAGGCGCAGTGGGGTTTGTTTGGGCTGCTCAGCCTCCCTGCTAAACTGCTGACATGTGAGATAATGTAGGAGCAGCTGCTTTCCTGCACTGCCTCCAGCAATCTCCAGACCTTAAATTCTATATATTTTGGTCTGGACTGGAGAGACAGCCGGAGAGCAGAGAAAAATAGGTATTTAGAGGCTTTACACAATTCCGCTTATGCACACAGGGGGCCGGGTTGTAACCCTCACATAAGTGGGGGGACGCCTGTACTTAAAGAAAAAGAAACATTGAGAGCCTCTGGTCCTAATGACCCTCAAAATCCATGAGGACCTCCAGATACTCAAAAAGGGTATGAAAATATAATTACAATGAAACATTAGTGCTGCCTAGATTAGAAGATCTTACACAGTATCATGTATCAGTTTTGGAATATCCTATTTAAGTGGAACTGATTTCATTGTTAGAGATTATCCATACATCTATATTTGTGCTTGTTGTGATGTTATGATAGCGGCCTGCTTGCTAAGCAGCGTAACACACAAGGCAGGAACTAGCATGGCACCACCGTGGCAACTTGAACAAACTGGGCTGTATATCTTCTTTCACCAACTTCTCTAAAATTGTATTGTACTTCTCATATGAACCACAGGTTCTAACATACGAACTGGGTCTTAGTGTGCTTGTGATATGATACGGGGTGAGGGTGTCAGTCTGGATGAAATCCTGGATCCAGACCTTGTGATCCTGTATCAGAGGGTAGAGTGTAAAAGGAGAAGCTTGTCAAACCAGTTCCTTCCTCCAGGTAATGGCTTGGCTGGCCAGTTAAGTGCTCATCAGCATATCAAAGAATGAACTAAGTGCTGGTGCTCTCCAGGAAAGATGGGAGGCACTACCCCCCCCCACTGTCCTCACTTGGCTGGAGGCTGAGGGATCCTAGGTAGAAGAACAATAAATAGCCAGAGTGGCTGCTAGGTGTGGTCCTTAAAGCAGGCTGAAGGTGAAGAGTGATGTGTTT